CTATTTCTTTCTTGGATGACATTTTAAAGCTCACAACATTCTGGGTTTGCGGTGTGGCGCGCTGCTCCCTTTAGGGTTTGGGGTTCCGAACCCCTGCACTCCATTTTTGGGTTCGGGGTTTGCACCAACTATTCCTTTCACTGTTTGGGTTTCGAACCCCCATGCTCCATTTTGGGTTTGGGGTTTGCACCAGCCACACCTTTCATGGTTTGCGGTTTCGAACCACACTGTATGTTGGGTTTGGGGTTTGCACCATTTAACTAGTCCTTATTGGGGTTTTGGGTTTCGAACCCGTTTGCACCAACTACGGGTTGGGGTTTGCGCGAACTATTCCTTTTCCAGGGTTTGGGGTTTCGAACCGCCGCGCTCCATTTTGGGTTTTTGGGTTTGATCCAACTACTCCTTTTAGGGTTTGGGGTTTCGATTGAATTTAATTTACACCAGCTATTTCTTTCTTGGATGACATTTTAAAGCTCACAACATTCTGGGTTTGCGTGTAGCGCGCTACTCCCTTTAGGGTTTGGGGTTCCGAACCCCCGCGCTCCATTTTGGGTTCGGGGTTTGCAGGGTTTCGAACCCCGTGCTCCATTTTGGGTTTGGGGTTTGCGCCATCCACACCTTTCAGGGTTTGCGGTTTCGAACCACACTGTATTTTGGGTTTGGGGTTTGCACCATCTAACTAGTCCTTATTGGGGTTTTGGGTTTCGAACCCGTTTGCACCAGCTACGGGTTGGGATTTGCGCGAACTATTTCTTTTTCAGGGTTTGGGATTTCGAACCCCGGCGCTCCATTCTGGGGTTTGAGTTTGCGCCAGCTACTCCTTTTAGGGCTTGGGGTTTCGTTTGAATTTACACTAGCTATTTCTTTCTTGGATCAGGATTTTAAAACACACTCCATTCTGGGTTTGCGGTGTGGCGAACCCCCGCACTCCATTTTTGGGTTTGGGGTTTGCACCAACTATTCTTTCACTGTTTGGGTTTCGAACCCCCATGCTCCATTTTGGGTTTGGGGTTTGCACCAGCCACACCTTTCATGGTTTGCGGTTTCGAACCACACTGTATTTTGGGTTTTTGGTTTTGCACCATTTAACTAGTCCTTATTGGGGTTTTGGGTTTCGAACCCCCGCACTGCATTTTTGGGTTTGGGGTTTGCACCAGTTTGCGCGAACTATTCCTTCTCAGGGTTTGGGGTTTCGAACCGCCGCCGCGCTCCAGCTATTTCTTTCTTGGATGACATTTTACAGCTCACAACATTCTGGGTTTGCGGTGTGGCGCGCTGCTCCCTTTAGGGTTTGGGGTTCCGAACCCCCGCACTCCATTTTTGGGTTCGGGGTTTGCACCAACTATTCCTTCCACTGTTTGGGTTTCGAACCCCCGTGCTCCATTTTGGGTTTGGGGTTTGCACCAACCACACCTTTCAGGGTTTGCGGTTTCGAACCACACTGTATTTTGGGTTTGGGGTTTGCACCATCTAACTAGTCCTTATTGGGGTTTTGGGTTTCGAACCTGTTTGCACCAGCTACGGGTTGGACTATTCCGGTTTGGGGTTTCGAACCGCCGCGCTCCATTTTGGGTTTTTGGGTTAGATCCAACTACTCCTTTTAGGGTTTGGGGTTTCGCTTGAATTTAATTTACACAAACTATTTCTTTCTTGGATGAGATTTTAAAGCTCACAACATTCTGGGTTTGGGGTTTGGGCTTGGCCCCCTACTTCTTTTAGGGTTTGGGGTTCCGAACCTCCGCGCTCCGATTTTTTGGGCTTGGGGTTTGCACCAACTACTCCTTTTATTGTTTGGGTTTCGAACCCCCGCGCCAGCTACTTTCGAAACCCCACACTCCTTTCTTGGTTTGAGATTTGCACCAGTTACGCCTTTGACTTTTTGGAGTTTCCAATCCACTCCGAATTGAGTTTGCACAAGCTACTCCTCGAAGGAACTCCACTTTGGGCTTGTTTTCACCAGCTACTCCGTCCAGGGTTTGGGGTTTCGAACCCCTGCACCCCATTTTTGGGTTTGAGGTTTGTACCAGCTACTCCTTTCAGGGCTTGGAGGTTTGCACCCCTGCACTCCCATTCTGGGGTGTGCACGAGTTTCTCTTTCTAGGGTTTCACCAACTTCTCCCCTTTAATTTTGAGTCTCCACACCCAGCCACTCCATTTAGGTAGGGTTTGGGATTTCGCACCACCCCCTTGTGCAGGTTTGATGTTTTGGCACCAATTACTTCTTGTAGGGTTTTGGGCTATCGCACAATATTGCCTTTGCGGGGTTTGGGGCGTAAGCCTACCCACTCCCATTATTAAGGGTTGGGTCTTGCACCAGCTGTTCTTTTGGGGTTTTTCGCACCCGCCCAAAACTCCTGTTACGGGTTGTCCAGGTTTTGGGTTTTCCCTAGAACATCCCTCCGTGTTATGGTTTGGGGCTCCAGCATCCACCCTTTCGTTTGGGTTTTTGGTTGGGTTGTCGCAATCACCCACGTCTTTTAGGGTTTGGGTTTTGTACGAGATAGTCCTGTCGCATGACACACTCCTTTTAGGATTTGGGTTTTTGCACCCATCCATTCCTTATGCCTTCTATAGGGTTTAGGGTGACGGACTCGTAAGCCCCGTCTGCTGATCCTGCGTGCTGAATCGCTTACCGGATCCGAATCAAACAGAGGGCTGACCCGATTCGCTCGAGCCAGTTCTCAGAAGTGCATCATCCGAAATTTTGGCTAACACGTGCCCCTACCGGAAAATCCTGCAATCGTAGGCAAAAAACGCAGCCTCCACCACGACAGCCCGAGAGGGCTGGGCCCGCCAGACTCGTAAACAAGCAGGCAAGCGAGAGACGCAGCGCAAAAGGAAGGCAGCGGCGATGCAAAATACATCAGCATGCGCGTGCAGACCTGGCTCCCAACTTGTGCAGGTAAGGAGAGGCAGGAGCACAACAGTAGCAAGGACAAAAGTAATAAGAAGATGGGACAGGGGTCCCGCAGTCGCTTCGAGTTTTGGTGGTTTTTTCTCGGCCGTGTCTTCACGTTCAGCGCTGGCCGAAGCAGAGCAGTGGTTCTTGATGATGTGCTAATGCAGTCGTGAGTCATGGGCCCTCCTGCTTATGGCACGATGCACAGAGGCGGCGATCCAAGCAGGACGATACGACAAATGGGCTACGCGATCTGCCATCGAAGCAGACATTACCTCCGCCAGCCCCGGCATGGCATTGTCTTCGCTAGCCTCAGAGTTGGTGTGCAAGGTTTCCCGGCCAGGCACCTGTAGTGATCTACACCTACGAGTGGTCTCCTTTCGCGGCGGAGGCGCAGAATCCGTGGTCGTATTAGCGTGCGAAGTCTGAGAAGTGACACGAGGCTAAGAAGTTGCTGGACTCCGTCGGTGCCGACTACACAGAGGCGGGCCGACGACCCCCGGCCCCGGCATGTGGAGCTTGGAGTCTTTCATGGGGTTGTTTCACCCAACCCAGCCCTGAGATCTCCCTCGGCTACGAGTGGTTCCTGGCCACCCCCGAGCAAGCTGCGAAGCGAGCCGAGTGTCTCGTCTTCGAATGTCAAGCGATGCTTTTGTCAAGAAGCCCGCTATCGTTAAGCAGTCTTGCGTTCTTAAGAGCAGGCTTGTAAAGCTTCCCCGACCCCGACCACGTGTGGCTCCAAGGCTTGGTACACTTTATGGGCTTCCGCCTCAGCACCAAACAGCAGCCAGCTTTTCTCGAGACTTTGTCACTTGGGTGTAGACCTGCTTCCGACAGGCGAACCAGCATGCCTCATGTATTCATCGGCGGCAAGAGCGTCCGGCACTCTCTGACCACAGAGAACCTCGGACCCGGAGCGCAAGACTCTGCAATGGCGAGGTCGGAGGCCTCATGGATGGAGACCCAGGCCGACGGCATCCTCCAAGCCTAAGTTGCCTCTCTTTTGGGCAGCCTGGCAGGCCTTGTTCCGTTGAAGGAGACGGGTGAACTCGTGCCGAGCTTGAAGCAGGCGCAGCGCAGTGCACCGAACTTCCGCAACAGTTTACGCTTGCATTGCCCGGCCGCCAGTCTTAGCAGGCCGGCGCCCTCCCCGACGAGGGTCTCTTTGGCTTCTTTCTGTATTCAGGCAAGGCAGGAGGGGTGAAGGAAGGGCGGGAAGCGCTCTATGCTGCTGCTTTGGGGGTTTGGGGCTTCGGGTGGCAATCGCACGTGACTCCTGACGGCAGGTGATCATCAACCGTGAGGTGACAGTTTCCGTTTGCTCTTGGACCGCATGAACTTTTTGAAGGAGGGGTGTGAGACCAGCAGCAACGCCCGCTTGCTGCAGCTCTCGTGCCTGGTGAGTGGCAACCCGCTCGAGAGTTTATGTACAATCCCCAAGAATCCCAAGTTATCACTTATCACTTCATCAGGGACCCCGCGTTCTGTGGGATTGCTCTGTTGAGCGCCTGCACAAGCCGCCGGCTCTGGATGCTGAGAAATTCATCCTCTGTACTCCTCTATGAAAGGCTTTGCCGACGGTTTTCTGTTTCACCCCAAATGCTACAGAAGCGTTGTCTTGTGCCACTAGCTGGCTTTTCAACTTAGAGAGTAGCTCCCGTCGACTGTGGCAGTTGTGCTGCCATGAGCAAACGTTTGCTTTGTCATGTCGGGAAGTGACGCCAGACTCTTACGCCAGCATGCATGCTGCATCCGAAAGGACATGGAAGCCCTCCTAGCAAGGCTCGAGACATCTCTAGCAATGGAGATGCTCCACCGCAGCGCGCAGCTTGACGGTCAGTCTAATAGCCTCGAGTTTGTATCACAGCTTGAAATATGTTGATATCTAGGACGCCTGGACTGCGATGTCCAGCTCAAACATCCCACAACATCACCATGACTAAGAACATGGGAAAATCGCAGCAGGAACCCCTGTCTTTCTATCATGCTTACCTTCTGCTCTGGAACACCAGCGTCACAAGCTTGGCCGCCATGCGGGCGGCCGTCAGTGCAGCTCGTCTTTCCACAGAATATCTTCCAGGTGCGGCCTGCGAGGACCTGGGAGCAGAAGCGCCGGCTCCTTCGCTTCGCGCCGGAGGTTTGCCGCAAGGGCTCGTTGGCCTGACGGCCCCGGTGCTCAGCGACCCTGACTCCGTCCCGAGTGCAATATGTCCGTGTGTGAGACGCGAGGCACCTCTGCAAGTGCGATGGGCCAAGAAGGGCAACAAGCGCAAGAAGAAGCCGAAGCGGGAGGATCGCACGGAGGAGCAGAAGGCCAGACGGGCAGAATCGGGCAGCCAAGACTGGAAACTGCAATCCCCCTGAAACATCCTGAAAGCAGTATGCAAGCTGCGCCAGGCAGCCAGTGGCGGGCCGAGAATGGAGCGGATCTTCGACAACGTGATGCATCCGGCCCGGGCCATCGGAATGCTCGCACTTCATGCGGACATGGGGGCAACAGTAAGGAGAGCCCTCACCAGATGAGCATGGTCATCCGGCGCCATATGCGTGGCTTGACGTCAGATGGCCGATGCCTTACCACCTCCGCAGCCCTTTCTGTACGCGAGTCCCTACATGCAGCATCAGATCTTCTGGGGGCCCACCTCAAGCCAGCGCTAGATTTCGATTGCGCATTTCACTTAATTTGTCATGCAAAATGGCGAACGGTCCATGGATGTCGGGTGGTCCCCGAAAAAGCACGAGGAAAGCATTGACATTTACAACCTACTTCAGCTGGTCTCCTGCCTGCCAGCCAGAGCGAATCGCATCGCTTTGGCGTTGGGTTGAGTTGAATCAGGTGTATCACGTGCAGCTAGTGCGAAGAGGCCACTTGGAGTCCCTTTGCCTCCTATGGACTTCCTCGTTATTTTAACAGGGTTCAGGCGTTTACAGGTTTTAAGTTAAAACCTGTAGACACCTGAAGCCTGTAGAATTTGGAGTTGGTCTGCTGCCTGAAGGATCGAGCTTTTCGAGACTCATGAAGGGACACTCACTAACCCAAACCACCTCTGGCTGCATGCGGTGAATCTTTTTCCTTCGAGCTTTCAGGTTTTTAACGCTATGCCTGGTCTCGTCTTTGATTTGACCTTCACTGCCAGGGCAACTGACCGGCAAGCTTGCCAATGAACCCTTGCGGTGTGTGAGGTCGGCACAACATCCGACGAAAAAAGGCGATGCCGCTGGGATGCCGCTGACGACGAGCAAGTGTACCGTCTCTTGCAGCATCCAGGATCTGACGCGCTACACGAACTACCGGGTGATGAGAATAGCTGGGTGCGAGCCCCGGCTCTTGGCTGCTATTTCCTACATGAGTGTGGGAGTCCGGCGACAATTCTCAGCTGCCTGCAGGCTCACGCACGACAATCCGACAGAGGAGGTCAACAGACTAGGGTTCCTGACGCCACTCACAGACCTGCAGGACGCACCGCTCCCCAGCCGTCGGAAAGCATTGTGTAGAGCACCCGGCTCAGGACTCCTCGAATCTGCCTCGCTCGGCGAACCACATCCGCTTCAGATATCCGCACACCCTCAGCTACAAGGCTTGCAGGAATCCATGGCCGTGGGTGGTCACTATGCACATGGGAAGGTCTATTGGGGGCCTCCGACAGTCTACGACGAACCCAACGAGCCGAGGGCTTATTCTCACAGGTTTTCGGCACTATGCGAGCGTGCGAGCTCTGTGAGCTGCAACTCGTGTTTTCGCAGCAATTTGCTGCAGGTATGAGGGCTCCATGGTTGGGTGCACCGTGGCCGTCGTGCCCCAGTAGTTCTGCTACCCATGATGTCGCATGACTTGAAGTTGCAATCCAAGTTCTGTAGGTCCGCCTTTGCGACCTACCACTGACCCAGAGGTGGGTGTCGCTTGCTTTCCATAGTTCTCCCCTGGAGATAGAACTGCAGGGTCAGGCCCCGGTAAGGCCGGTAAGGCATGGAAAGCGCGGAACTGGAGTAATACAGGAAGGCCCACTCAAGAAATTCTGCTAGGTCTGAGACCCTGCCGTTTTGTTTTAGACCCTGCCGTTTTGTTTTGCACGTGATTCTGTCCTCGAACGCAAATGCGTGACGAGACGGTGAATCTTTTCCAATTGCATTCTTTGAGCTTAGTACCGGTTGTGGCAGTGGTAGTGGCGATAGTGCGCTTCAACCTCGGTTCGGCAAAGCACACATAGTTTTGGAGTTGGGGTTTGGGTTCCTTTCCTGGTTTTGTGTGCATGCTGTTCTGGAAAATAAGCCTGCTGCAAGTTTATGGTTTACGCCCCTTGAGCACCGTTTGTTCAACTCCGTCCTGGCGAATTTCAGAAGACTTACATCGACGTCCCTTGCATCAGCACGCACGGTGCACAAAGGAGAGGACGGTGCCCCCTGGCGGTTTGGTACGTCCGAAAAAAAGATGTTGTCAGCTTTCAAGCCTGAGGTTCCCACAACAAAGCGTCACGACTGTTCATTTCGCAGGGTGAGTGCTCCACTCCATGCAGAGTCACTGATCTTGGACCACAAGCTCCCACTCCCACTCTGTGAGCCTCCAGGCAGAAGGAGCGCCTGGTGGACATCGTGGGCCATCACCGGGTCTGCGAGGCGCCAGGGGCAGGATGGCTCGAATATGCCGAGATCATGACCATGATCTCCCCCGAAACTGGGGCAGCAATGCAAGAAGCGCTGTTCCCGTTACATCCCGTTCAGAAAACTGGCGTTCTGACCCTGGAAGCCGATCACTTCCCAGAGAGGCGGAGCTCCCAGATTGCGGGCAGGGAGGATTCGAGTTCATGTGCTTGTGCTCTCATCCAGGAATCACAATGCTGCCCTACTGGGAGACATGTTGGAGCAGCTCATGAGGGAGGTGTGCCCCGCGATGCTGGAGTTATCGCTGCGGGAAAGAGTTGCAGTTGCTCTCCCACCAGGCCATGCTTGCGGATGAGAGCCCACAGTCTGCCAACAGCCTCAGACACGATCAGCTTCTGCGAGCCGACTCTTCGTCGTGAGCCGCTTCGACGATTGCTGTCCAGCACGGCCCCCTGTTACTTGAGCCAAGGTCGCTGACTCTGTCGAGTGAAGAACCATGGGCGCTGGTGTACAAAGATGCGACGCTGCTCCATGCTCAAAGCAGAGAGCACGTAGCACGGCCCAGAATTCCAAAACGTTGCGGTCATAAATACGATGCCTTCAAGTGTTTGTTTGAGCCCTCCGTTTGGGCAGGGTCGGTTTTCACTTCGTTTTAAAGTTGCTTGTTGCAGGGTTTGCCATGTGCAGCATTCCTTGTCCGTCTCCGACCAGAATTGTTGACACATGCTTTCGAACTCTACTACTGTTGATTTGCTTGCCCCTTCTCAGCCCACCATGTACAGCTTAAGTTTGTCATCATCCCTTTGCCTCGCGCAGTGTGCCGCCTTTGTTTTCGGGTTGATGCCTGAGTCTGTGAGGAATCCGAGCACTCCGCATACTTTGCAGGATTTTGCGCGCATTGTTCGTGTCGTTCGACTTCTGCTTCATTCTCAGGACACCGCGAGGGGAGTAAGGGCAAAGGCACGGGTGCTAACGGATGGAGTCTGGAGTGCGTCGAGTCCTGTCAAAGCGCAGGTCGTTCCAAGTTCCGGGTGGGGTGGGTGTGTGCCACTGCACGCACCGTGCTCACAGCTTTGAGCGAATTCACCGAGGCCATACCACCGCTGGTGACCACCGTGTTTTCTCGAAAGATCTGGCAGGTCTCGGATGGGCTTGCTCGTGGGTGCTCGCCATGGCAAAGACATGGCTGTGATGGAGGCCCTGGCGCCCTGCGAGATTTCCTGAAAACTCAGAGCCAACGACTGTTCAGGAATACTTCTCAGACAAGGCATCGAGGGAATCCTTTTTCTGTTCCACTGTGAGCCCTGTGCATGAAGCTGCCTCGAGGTAGTTTGGGTGACCGGAGCTTCCGCTGGCTTTGGGGAAGCACTTTGCATTGCTCTCTGTCAAGCGGAGCCATGGCTGATTTCGGCATGGAGCGTTCGTCCGCGGAGCGCATGAATGCGCCCAGCTGCGCGGCCGGCGCAGTGCCGGCGCGCCCTAGGCGAAGCCTGGAGGCCTGATCCTCAGTGCTCGTCGAAAGGATGAGCTCGAAAGGGTAAGGTCAGGACCTTGGCGCATCTTGGCCTTGGCCCCTCACCTTGGAGGCTTCATGCATGGGGCAGCTGAGGTTAAGATGCTTGGAGCTGCTTCCAGATCTGAAGACAGAAGCAAGAGACACAAGGGACCCTTCTTTGCCTCGAAGCGGTGCTCATGGAAGCGAGGTGCTGCCGCTGGATCTTTCTGACCTTTCGAGGTTACAGCCTGCAGCCGAGCAGGCGAAAGGTGCCTCGTCTCATGGCCATTGGCTGCTTGATTTTTTGGATGTTTGTATCTGGCTCCTTCTTTCCGCTTCTCAGGTCTCTTCGGGCGTGTAGATGTCCTTGTGAACAACGGTGGGGTCGGATTTCGAGGCCTCGGCCAGGAGACATCGATTGAGGCAGGGCCTTTTTTTCCGCAGCTGAGCTGTGATCCGCAGAGAATCCGCAGAGCCCTGAAGACGGACCAACACGTGATGAACGTGGACTTCTTTAGTGGCGTGATCCTGCTGAAAGCCCTCCTTCCAGACTGGCTTAGGAGGCCTAGTCCTGCGCAGCCGACTTGGGGGCCAGCAGCATCAGCATTCTTCACTACGCAGTGTGGCAACACTGGGGGGTTCTCACCTCAAGAGTAAAGAGAACTGGTTCGCGGGCCAGCCTTGCGGCACTTGGCCGGCGTGGGCGCACAATAGGGGTCCCCGACACGTTGCTGCCTTTTTTTGCGTTCGCGTCTTATGATTTACAGAGTATCCGTGCGACGCGCAGCTCCTGTGGTGTGCAGCGCCCTGCAGATCTGGCGCCCCGCTATTTTTGGAGGATCCGCTGGGTTACCGTTTCCCGGAGAGCCGAGCTCTTTGTAAAGTCTAACACAGTGGTTTGCGGGAAGGTTTTTGTCGTCTTTCCGAATCTCGCCGGTTAAGCGGGTGAAACGCACCAGTACTTGGCACGTCCAGAATCCTGCCAACACTTGGGGGAAAGCGCGGGCCGCGTTGAATCAAAGCAGTTTGGTGGTCTCCTGGCGGTCTCGTGGAGGTCTCCTGGTCCATTGCACAGGTTCAGAAACGGGCACCGTCGACACTACACACCAAATGTTTCGAGCACAAAAGCCACTATGCCATCGATCCCCGAACAGTGAAAGAGCACGACGACGACCATAACGACACTGAAGCCCACCACTACGACCAGGACGACCACGACAACCAGCAGACCACGAGGAGAACCACCAGGAGACCACGAAGAAAGCACCAGCAGACCCCCAAAGACCACCCAGAGACCACGGAACATGTTGACAGACAGACCTTGAACCCATTGGGGACGAACTGGCGTTAACCAATCTGCAGCATAGTCTTGAAGGCGCCAGGCATCAAAGGACATGTTGCTAAGAAGCTTTGCTATGCAACCTGAACCATGCTGTACGACTGAAAAGGATGTCTTCAATCAACTGCAGCATGGTGAGTACGGTGATTGTAATGAGTTTATGACGGCAGTCATACTGTTGAGCAGTATTGATAATATACATATATATATATATTATATATGCTATATGTATATTCTACATAGAATTTATCTATTGGTAGGGCGGATGCTTTTATGTGGACTGAGCGGAGATGCCCCTGTTACAGATCAGCAAAGTGTTCGTCTGTGCGAGGGGCCCTGAAAGTTGCTTCTCTCGGAGGCGGAGCGGCCATGTCGTGCAAATCTCATCGGTCCAGGCAGGCACTGCCATCCAAGACGTAGCAGCTGGAAAGCGCCGCATTGCAGGGCTTCTTCGGCTTGCCTGGTCGAACCGCCTATGCAGCTGCGAAGGATCCATGAGCATCTTTTTGAGTGGAGTTTGCAATACACTTGCAAGCCGCCTATAGCCGTCTCAAACTTGGCAGCATGCTGCCGTCGGCTTCTATGATTCGCTACGGGCAGAGGTGGCGGACAATGGCATAGCTGCGACCTGGCTTCACCTTGCTGCACCGTGTTTCACTCTTCAAGCTTCCGTGTAACAGTGTCCCCATGGGGTGTACAGCCAAGGTAACCACTGTTTGCCCGGGGTACATAGCTCCGGTCTGAATCGGTAGTTGATGGTGGATGCGGAATGGCATGTCCAGAATCGCCCACTTGCCTGAGGCTACTGAACATGCACGGAATGCCGCCAGAAGTGATGGGGTGCAGGTGGAGCCCGAGATCAAAGGCCCAAAGAGTGGTTACGAAACACCGTGAAGCTCTTGCGAACTTCCGTCCTGCGGGCTGTTCCAGGCGTGGCTCCGGATGTGTTAGCACCGAAAGTCCTCGCGGCAATCGCACGGCGGAAAGCAGAGATGGCCCGGGCAGTCAGAGCGCTGAAGCTCTGGGGCTTATGGCGTTCAGATCTGTGGCCAGGTCCCTGCTGCTCTGGATGCTCGAGCGGCTCGCCTGCTTCGCACTCTCTTTCCCACCCTTTTCTTCTCCATCATGCGGAGGTGCCTATGTTCCTTAAACTTGTTTCAAGCCGGCTGTGCAGAAGTCGGAGGTCGAAGCTGTGACGGTGTCAGTGCCGTGGTCACGGTCTCAGAGTTGCACCTGCCATCCTTTCCTTCTGACTTGTCCTGCGCTTTGAGCAAGGTTAGTGCTGGAAGGTGAGGAAACCCCTGGCTTCCAGACTGCTTTGCCAAAGCTTCAGCAAAGCATGCTGAATCGTGGCAAAAGCCTTCCGCCTGCCTGCCCCTGCCCGTTACTGGGGTAGCAACGCATATGCAGAAACCTGAGGCAACCTCATCGCCTCCTCTCGTGCAAGAGTATTCTGCACAGATACACAAGAAGACGTGCGGAAGAGTTCTCATCACTTTCACGAGCGAACACTCTGCCAGCAAACTGTACTTCTCCCAAATGGGCCTGCTAGCCCTGCCACCGTAAGCCCTAGCCATTAAGATTCCATCGAGCGAATCCTCAAGCATAAAGCCACGGGATGTTTTCGCAGCTGCCGCCATGCCTTCCATGGACTCTGTGCTCGGAGGCGTCATCGGCCGTGCTTGAATTGGCTGATGTGAGACCCAGTTCTCTGCAAGCTCCACCACGGGCACTTGGTTTGTTGCCACCATATTTAGAGCTTCAAGCAAAGAGGTTTTCACCCTGCTGGGAGGACATGGCGCCGCCTTGCATTGAATCGCGATCGAGGTTCCCAGCTGCAGACAAGAATCTCGTGTAGAGCCGGGTGATTCGGGATTTTTTTGAATGGTGAGCCGAAGGGTTGCAGTGGCGCGTTCCTGCTCCGTTAAGCCTTCAAGTGTCTAGGATATGAGTCAAGCGGGCCTTGCGGGCTTGAGGTAGCAGAACAGGTTTCAGGGGTTCAAGTGCTTCTTGTGGTTTATGGGTCATGAACTCATGGGCTGGGGTCGGGGTGTGTCTGCTGGGCAGGTAGCAGCCATGGAGGCTCTTGCCTTCGCGTTGCAGCTTGACGGCGAGGTCGCTTCCCCGACCCCAGAGAGAGTTGCGATCCGGGACGGGATTGACGCTGGAGAAGATGCTCTTCCCACGGTCTGCAGGAAGAGGTCCACTGCGAGTTGCAGCTCGAGGGAGACGAAGAGCACACGGTGGCACGGCCCTCTGTGCAGGGAAATCTTACTGCGTGCCAGCCAGATTGTCGGTGAAGATGCAGTCGTAGTGTAGGCCATGGCATCACCATTGCTTTCTGTTTGCTCCCTTGTGCCCGAACCGCATACGCCGTATGGCGGATGTCTTTTGGCTGTTTCTGTTGACGGGTCCTCTACTCGCAGCTGCTGCCATTAGAGGCTGAGTTTGCAGTGGCCATCAGAGTCAGGTTAAGATTGGCCGATGCCCGAAGGGTGGACTTGTGCCAAACTCAGTTAAGTTCTTCAGGTGAAGTCCATGGAAGGGTCAAACCCTGGAAGCATCGCTGTTTGCAGAAGGTTGTCAATCACCTTGGTGTCTCCTGGGTCCATGCAGAGCTCCGCCTACTGCGGCGAGACGGCGAGGCCAGCCGGCACTAGGTTGTCAGGTTAGTCACGGAATCCTGGGCGATGTCTTCCTGACAGGCTGAACCACAGCTGTGCGTGCGAGATGTCTCCGCAAACGGAACTGGACTTCAAGAAGAAGGCCGTGGGTGAGTTGGATCTGAAGCACTGAGCAGCGCAGAGCATTGCAGAGTATTGTGAGACGTTGTTGTGTAAGGAGGAAGTGAGGAGGAAGTGCAATGGCTGCAGCGTAGCGAAGATGTGTCTGCTGGCTTGCATTGGGGGAGGCTGGTTTGCTTTTGAAGAGCTGTGCAGCTCAGCGCTGTGAGGCCTTTCCCGGAGGGGAAGCGGATTGTAATGCCGCAGAAAGTCAAGAACAAAGCCGGCCGGCCGGAGGTTGGATCTCGGCAGCTTGTGGAGCCCTATGAAGGGCGTCCGTGTTTTTGGAGGACGCCGTGCGACGGAGCATCGGCCTTCGCTTCACCAGCGAGGAAGAGGCGGCCAAGGCAAGGCAGATCCGAGAAGAGAAGGCTGCCAAGAAACGAAGACGTGCCGGGAAAAAGGACCTAGCCGGGGCCGCCTGAGTCTAGCTGCTAGCCGTGCTGCTAGCCGTGCTAGTCCGAATGTGTCGGGCTGAGAGGAAGAGGCGAAAGCAAAGAAGAAAGCGGAGGTCCTCTAGAGGGCTTGAGCGATTGAACACAGTGTAACACGTTGGGCAAAGTAAGGAAGCCGAGAAAGCGAAGAAGCAAGAGAAAGTGGAATCTCCTAAGAAGGCAAAGGCAGGGCTGTCCAAGAGCCGATCCTTTGCTTGGTCTTCAGATCTGAAGAGACTCTGTGGTTGTTCGAGGAAGACCTTAAGAAGAAGGTAAGCAAGGACTGGAGATCCATCTTCCACGTTGCGCATCGGTTCTGTCCAGTGGCAGGATGACGACGAGCCAACAAAGAAGACTGCTCAGCGCTGACCTTGGTTGTGGCAGCTTTGCGGTGGCATCTCCTCATGCCCCGCTGACGTCTCTGTGAGCACGAGTTGCTTGATGTTAGGACTGTTTGGAGTAGCATGGACTAGCACTTCAAGACTTCTGTGCAGGAAAGACAAGAAAGATAAGCCCAGCAAGGAGAAGGACGGGAGTTCTAGCTGAATCTTGGGTCAGAATGAGGCAGCTGTGGTGGGGACCTTCGGGGCCGGGTTGGCCCCGGGCAGACTGCGGCCGGAATCAGAATCTGTTGCTTCTTCTGCTCTTGATCCTCCCATTGCCCGGAGGTCGATTTGCAAATCTGTTGTTGATGTGCTGTGTATTGAGGGGGGTTTGGCCAATTGTCTTGAGAGTTGCAAAAATCGGGAAACAAAGCCGTCAGCCTTCGACCTCTTGCACTGGCTTTGCCGAATCCTTCCGGTTCTCGGAGTACTCGTACCATCCCTGCAGCCACCATCGGGGCTGCCATGGTCTGCCAGACCTAGAGTACCTGACACAGCCAGGAGAAGCCAGTCACAAAGCAGGCAAGGTCCAGAAGCAGGGACGGAAGGACTGAACAGCAAGGGATATTGCCTGGGGCAGCAAGGGCGGTCTTTGCCTTAAATCCTGGATGCCTTCCAGGAAGGAGAAGGCCAAGAACGGTGTATGACACTCAAAGGGTGCCTTGACATGTCGTGACATTGCCAACAACGAAAATCTGACCTGCTCGTCTTCGTTGGCCGCCTCAGGCTGCAATGCCCATAGTATCACAGATACTTTGTACAGAGACATTGACAATTTTTTTAGCTCCTGATGCCATGTTGTGCAGCTCCGAAGTGGAGCCCGTTGGCCGAACATGCCAAGTCCTTGCAGATGATGGGGGGAGAACCCGACGCCTGTTCGATGCATTTTCCAATGTACACCATTAGTGTGGACACACTGCTGCAGATGACAGAGATGGCACCTTACGAGGAGCTGAAGGCTACCGACCGTCTCGTGTTATTCTGCAGGAGCCTGGGCAAGGCCATGTTTATATCCCATCAGTGGATCGGGTTCCAACACCCAGACCCAGAGCTTAAGCAGCTGAAGGTTCTTCAGGGTGCCTTGTCATATGCCATGTCAGACTTGCAGCAAATCCCGGTGGACCTTGTAACAGAGATTATGACGCCCGGTGCCAAAGGCTTGCCTACGACCGAGCTTCGCTCGTCGCCTTTGTTTGCCTGGTATGACTACTTCTGTTGCCCGCAGCTGGAATATGGGCCGAATGCCAAAGAAACCGGCGACCTCGCCAATGCCATACGCAGTATCCCTGCGTATGTGGCTGAGTGTTCGTTCTTTATTGCGCTCTGCCCGGTCGTGGAAAACAGCAGCCATTCCAAAGTCTTCACTCCCGGCAGCTGGGCACAACGAGGCTGGAAGGGTCATGCTTTAAGATACCTTACTGCGCCGACTCCCCGAGGACACCTGGAAGTTTTTCAAGTCCGCAGTTAGCCATGTCCCGCCAAATGCAACGCTTGGATCGAAAGGCCAAACGCAAACAGAGGCTCATCGAAGGATCTTAGTCCTAGCCGTTGAGGCACTCCGTGTTTCACAGGAGTCTGCTTGTAGCCCTGGAGGTTGGTGCCGAGTCGAGAGGGCATTTCGGGAGCTGAGCGAGAAGGAGTCCTGGATCATTGTGAAAAGCTCTGCGAATATCGAGCTGGTGCATGGCGTGGAAGCCTCGGTTGGCGGGGGGCCACCTGGGGAAGGGCAGTTTACCAGGGCGCAGGACCGTGACAAACTGGCTCCAGTCCTTGCTCAAGCTTTGCGGCGGAAGCTCTATTTCCTTCTGCGGGATCAAGACTTTGTACCTCAACTGCAAGCAGAGTTTTTCACGATGTTTGCCGTTTCCAGCTTTAAGATGTTAGGATGCTCGGGACAAGTACAGGTGAGCTACCGTGTGCTGCTGAACTTGCAGGCCGTGTACCTCAAAGGCCTTCGGGCTGAGCCATGCTTCGAGCCAGTCCCCGACTTGGGGCCGGAGGGAATCGGTAACCTGGAGCCGAACACTGCCATGAAGTTCCTGTATCAACATGGCTTTGCAAGAGTACGTGAGAGGGACCGTGCCGGATGGTCACCCTTGCACTATGCAGCTCTTCGGGGCGATTCATCCGTGATCAAGGCTTTACTCATGGAGCGGGCGGATCCGAATTCGACGACGAAGGGCGACCAGCCGCGAGTAGGCATGCCGCCTTGGACGTCAGCAGTGGCCATTTGTTTGTTCTATCACCACAACGATGCAGCGCGACTGCTGATCTCAGCAAAGGCGAATGTGAATCACACTGGAGACTATGTGCGGCCAGCCATGACCTGTGCGGCAGATGCGAACAATCCCGAAGGCATACGTATTCTTTGTGAAGCTGGTTGCAGACCGGACGTGCGCAACCTTTTCGGCATCTCTGCATTTGAGTCGGCCAGTGCTTGCGGCTCGCTAGCAGCCATCGAAGAGCTTGTCGGCCGGGGTTACAAGATGGATGCTTCAGATGCCCTGTATTGTGCCATGTTGCATCGTGGTGGGAGTGCAGAGCTCGTTGAGCGCTTGGTGGCCTTGAGGGCCGATGTGAATCGATCACGCAGTGTCTGGAAGCATTCAACAGCTTTCGGAGTCTTGGCACTCCTGAAGTCTTTTCAGCACCGATATAGCAAGGTCAGTGCAGCCACAAGAACTCTACACCATGCTCCCAAAGCGACGCCGCTCATGCTGGCCATTAATTCATCTCAATACGCAGGTGCTGCAGCTCTCATCGCAGCCGGCGCAAAGCTTGACATGCGCAACTTACGTGGTTGGACTGCGGCTGACTTTGCAAAAGGACAATCGGTTCCAGATTTCTTGCTGCAGGCTTTCGAGGGAAGCCCAGAAGAGTGCGAAAGGGTTGCCGAAGTAGCGCGTGGTGACTACGTTGAAGAAGTGTTTTGACTTTCAGATATTTGTAGCAGGCAGGCCACAACGCCACATCGTGTTGGAAGAGTGCCACTGGCAAAACCAGGGCGACTCGAAGTTTTCTGACTTTCCTGCCTGAATAGGAGCCGAGCCACGGTCGTGACAAGCATAGTTGCTCTCGCAGTCGTAGTGCATCAGGAGGCTGGTGGGCCACATGGCACGATTGCATGATAGCGTCAAGCAAAGTGGCGTTGCACGTGGATCTTGATTGACTAGGGCAGGAGAGGTTCAGTCCCCCCTCTGTATCACCCGGCGCCAGAACATGGCGACTCAGGCTTACAAGTGCCACTGGTTCAAGACGAATTGTCGATGACAATGCTTATCCGTTTGTTTTGCATCGCTCGATGCCCTTTAGACCAAATCTGTGTCGCTTTCAGAAGCCGACGCAGTTTCCCGGGGCAAGGGAGAAAAAGGTCGGCCCTGAAGGGCCTGAAGCTTGCTTGCCTGCAAATGGCCATGTCCAGAGAGCTGGGCTGAGGCCGGTGATGACAAGAAGCAGAAGCCCCTGGGCTGCACCCGTGCCAAGAAGGGTTTTTGCTGCACCGATCACTCTGAAGATGCTTTCAAGGCAGGGCGTCGCCGGCGTGGCCGGCGTGGCCGTGGCCGAGCCGCCCGAGCCGCCCGTCGCAGCGGCCATCCCGAAGAAGGCCGAGCGCGACGGCGAGGTCCCGGCTCGGGAGCCGGAGCTTCCGGCGCCCCCAAGGGCTCCACAGCCAGAGGCCGCTGAAGCTTCGGAGCCCCCAACTTTGCGGAAGGAGCGCGAGTGCTCCGCGGCTTCGGATTTGCCTCTCACGGCGCTCTGCAGGAGACGGAGCCACCGAAGGGCGAAGAGGTGGTAGACGCAGAGATCAAGTCAGACGATGAGGACCGGGTTGCTAGGGCCATCCTTCTCTTCAATCTTTGCGACTCTCGCACACTGTTGGCAGGATGTGGTGCTTGTGACAGATGGCGAAACAGCAGCTCCCAGCGCCCAAGAGACTGAAGAAGCAGCTGCACAGGACTCCGGACTCTGAGAGCCAATGTGCATTACCGCCCGTACTTGAAACTGCTAGGAGCCTGCCGAGCCGTCACTTCCTGCGTGGGTGAGAGAAGGCACGAAATGGCCAGACGAATGCTGTGATTTTTTTTGGGAGATTTGCTTCAGCTCTCTACATGCAACGGCCAACGGCAGGCAAGCGTTGCAACTGGTTCTCGGCGTCGCTGAAGCGACTCCTGCCGGTCAGGATTACAAAGGTGGACCACGCCAAGCGTTGAGCTCAGAAAGCACTGCCCCAGAGTCCCAGAGGGCAGACACAAATTTGACCTGGAAACAGTTTCCACCGTGCCCAGCATGTCCCCGTAGCTGTAAGCTGGGTGAGTTTCGACAGCATCCTCCCTCTAAAGTGTTCAGGTCCGTGGTGATCGCTACCTTCGAATCGGATAGCGCAGTTTGGAAGAGTGTGGGTGTCTGAGCTCCGCCCACTTCTTCCAATGTTGGCTCGTTGTGCAGCTGCATCAGGTGCATTTCTTGCTGCTGGGACAGCCGGACTGTCCTCTGAGAGGTCCTGAACCTGGTCAGGAGCCTCTGCAGATGGAGACGCCTAGCCGTCTATGCTCTTTGAACCTTCGGTCTGAGTGGAGAGCTCTGCATCCTGGACAGGAGAGTAGTGACGAGGAGCCTGCCAGAGCTGGCTTTTCACTTTTCACTTTTGGTATCATAGGTATCTGAGCCTCGCAGCACCACAGCACATACCTCGAAAGCGCCAACCCATCAACCTGCCTGCTGACTCGACTCCCGTCAGGAAGAGGGCCGCAGCCGACGAACCGGGCGGCGTTCGAGGACCGCTGTAGAGATCGGTCTGGAAGATCTCGGCTTCGCTGCATGTCTCAGGACCCCGGATGTCTGGGAGCAAGAGCGGCGCCGCGTCATCGCAACGCAGGCCGGTGCAGAGCTCTGCGATCCTGGTGTTCCGAGAGTCAACAATTCACTTCATTTCGAATGATAGGAGGCTGTGTTGGCGTGCAAGCCTCAGCCTTTCTTGCAGTTTGAGAGCCATTTTGGTGCAGTGGCTGCGGCAGGGCAGAGCGCCAAGAAGAAGAGCGACGCAAAAAGCAGCAAGAGGAGGCAGCCATCCAGCTTGCCACGCAGAGCGCTTTCGCAAAACCTTTGATCAGCAACGCTTTTCCCCAACCGCCGAGTATCCACCAGGAGCAGCGGCGAAAAGCCGCCCAGGAGATCGAGCGTCAGAAGGCCGGCCTTGCTAGAAGTTCACTCTTTTTCTTTCGTGCTCTCGCTCTCCCGCTCCCTCTCTCTGTCTCTCCCTCTCTCTCCCCTCTGATCTAGATCTCTCATTCCCCCCGCTCGCTCCCTCTCATATCTCTGTCTCTATATCCATGTTCATGTACATCCTCTGGAAGACATCAATCACCACGACCCTTTCGTCTGTTTCGAGGCTACCGGCAGTGCAAACATGACAGGTGCAGGCTGCCTTTGAGCAGAGGAAGAAGGAGGCGGAGGACGGGCTTTGACGCGAAGTCGCTCTTCTCTTGACTTCGCTGCAGAAGCTGCAAACATAGTTCTTCTGCTTGCTTCTCGCCTCGAGTTGGATTGATTAGAGGTTTCCGCCAGCTGCCCGGACCGGGCTTCTCTGAAGCCAGCTCGAAGACTGATCACGCGTCAAGTTCTGTATCTCCTGAGGTGTAGGTGATCATGAGGCCCTTCTCCAAGCTTGAAAGGAAGCCCTTACAGCTACAGGTTTTCCAAGCTTGCGTAGATGTGATGAGGCTTCCATTCCCTTCTGATCAGGAGCAACGTCTCAGGGAAGAGGAGGAGTGGCGTGCCAGGCGGGGTTCCAGGACAGAGACCGAGGATCCTTCTTTTGTTGTCCCTTTCCTAGGCTGGTGGAGAGGCGGAAGAAAGAAGCCGCTGAAGAGGCTGGGGCTGGCCCGCACCCCACCGAACCGGCGTACGCTGCTGTTGCGACATGTCATTTTCTTCCCTTCCAGCTTTGACTGTCTTGATGCACCTGGAAAGATGCTGGATGCCAGGAGGAGCGACTTCGCCGCGAAGAGGAGGAGCTTTTGTGACTCCGGCTATTCCTGCAGGTTCAGGGCTTGAGATGTGAAGCTTCGGTCTCCACAAGAAGGTGAGAACAGTCGTCGCTGGTGCTCCGTTCTGGTTAGCCGGAGCAGATTCCAGGTGCGTAGGTTTCGGCTGGTTTCCCCTTAAAGCACTGTATCTCGACTGCCCCGGCACGGAGCTTGAGACCACAAACTCGTGCCGCAGGAGCGACAGGAGAGAAAGAGGAAAAGTCAGCAGCCCAAGAGGTTCCAAAACGCTCGCGGAGCTTTGGTCCTCCCGCATTTGAGTCTCGAGCTTTGCCGCGGCATTCTGTACGTCTGCGATGCTGAGGGAAAGAAGAAAAAGATCGCGAGAAGGAGAAGGAGAAGGAACGAGAGAAGGCCAGCGGCATGTTATCCCAACCTTGCGAGAGGATGCCTGCATACTGCACGCGCAGGAGCGGAGAAGTAAGCAAGAGGCAGAGGAGGACGTTTTTTTTTTTGCAAAAAACGCAAGCCGACCTGTCGATCGCAAGTAGGGTTGCAACCGCTACCGCCACGTTCAAGCACAACTGGGTCCTTGGGATTAGGGTCTAGGTTTGGCTGAGGTGTAGTTGCGAAGTTAGGCTGAGGGTGCGAGGGCCATGGATGCACACGTCGGCAGAGGCAAACAGGAAGTAGAGCGGTCAAGGACCGGGAGAGAAAGCGGCAAGCTTCCATGGACGCCTTCGAGCAGGCCTGATGTGCACACGGTAGGCTCTTCGTGGATTCGTTAAAGCCGTAAACACCACATGACATACGTTCTAGGTTTTGATTTGAGGGCAAGGGATCGAAGGTAGGTTTGCATTTCGCAGGCGTGCAGGAGGTCCGATCCGATGAAGCCAGGAAGGAGAAGACCGGAAGATGTCCGGTCCCCAACATCCGAAGTGTAGGTGGCGTTGCTGCGTACGGCCCCATCAGGATGATGATGACGATGACGGCTCTCCAAAGCCAAATGCAGGACAGTGGTGGGGAGCACAGAGATGCTGCTCGCATTTCAACGTTTGCATGCAGTTGCTTCTTCCGGATGGAGGTCTGAAGGTTCAAACCGCGTGTCTAGTCGAGCACGGCAGAACTCTGCGGAGAGATCTGCCATGGCAAAGTCGTAGGAGCATCTCCGTTCATGCACTGAGTCTGTGAGTTTCTTGTGAGAGTCATCTCACCTGCTGCAAAGTTGCTGAGTCCTATATCGCATCAGAACAGAGACAAAGACTAGCATGATGTTTTGTCCGAAGCAAGCAGGGGCCATGTTACTCGAAGCCAGACCTCCCAAGGGTTCGATTTGGATGTTCGATTCTAACTATTAGCATGCTAGAGCATGTTCAAGACTTGATTACTTGATTGCTGAGGCCAGGTATGGGTATGCTTCGCCGGCAAGTTTCGTCAAGCTGCTGACTGTGCTGCTGAGTTCTTTCCTTGCAGGTCTGTCGGTTTCCGTGCAGGTTTAACCCCATGATGGCCATGATGGCTGCAGCCGCTGGGAACGGCGGAGGTTGGATAATGGCAGTAGAGAAAAAGAGGGTGATGTATTGTACGAGTTACCACGCTGCCAGGCTTCGCGATGAACCAGTCGATGGGGATGTCCAAGGGCGCAGGGAAAGGCCTTCCCTGCTGAGAGAACGGCAAGAAGGGAAGTTTTGCTGAGCGTTCGCCCTGCACTAGGCAAGGCTTCTCACCCGAAGGGCTACGACCACCCGACCGCGAAGGGCCAGGGATGGGGCCCCGGAAGCCCGCCACCGAGCTGAGGGGGCTTGCACAGGTAGCGAAGAGAGAGTACCTGTTCGAAGTGATTGCTAGATGCAGTTGGAGCCCGCTGTCAGGGTCGTTTCAAAATAGTAAGCACGTCTTTATTTAAACGGTTCCAACAGAAACGCAATTAAGCATGTTTCCATGTTTGGAAAATTTCTGTGGGTCTCTTTCCAAATTTGTTGAAACAGTATTGCACCATCCATGGGTTAAAGCTACGGCTTAAACATGTCACTGCAGCAAGGGTCACGGCGGATGTTCGAATGCCGGGCACTGGAAGTGTTTAAGTTTAGGCATGTTTCAGCATTCACGTAGACAGTCCGGCCCACGCCCACACCCTGGAGCCCCAGTGCTGCGATCACTATTGGCAGTTTTGGCAGGGCTTGCCAAAGGGGTGCCTGGGGTGAAAACACTTAGGGCTTAGGGTTTAGACTCGAAATGTTTTAATCGGTTTCTGAAGACCCGCACTCCGAGCCTGTTTCTTGTCAGCTTCAAGCGAGATTGGGCCACCTAAAGATCTTCATCTCAAAGACTCTAGGGTAGGCTGTTTGCTTGCCCTTGAGACGGCATCAACAAGGTCTGCTCTCGCATCTAACGATCACTTCTGCCGGCGGATCTTCGTGCATGTATGTATGCATATATGTATGTATGTGTCTGTATGTATGCATGTGCCTGCATGTATGTGTCTGTCTGAATGTCTGTCTGTCTGTCTGTCTGTCTGTCTGTCTGTCTGTCTGTCTGTTTGTCAGTCGGTCGGTCTGTCGGTCTGTCGGTCTGTCGGTCTGTTGGTCGGTCTGTCGGTCTTTCGGTCTGTTGGTCGGTCGGTCGGTCTGTCCGTCCGTCCGTCGGTCTGTCTGCCTGTCTGTCTGTCTGTGTGTCTGTGTGTATGTATGTAGGTAGGTAGGTCGGTAGGTATGTATGTATGTACGTATCCATGCCTGTGTATATATTCATGTGTGCTTGTTTGTCTTTCTGCCCGTGTGTGTGGGAGCCCGCGTCATTCGCTCGTTTGTTCCGTGTTTCGTTCTGCACTGGGGATCCTGCCAGCTGAGGTGGTGCTGGCGGCTACAGTTCCGGCGGTGGGAACTACGGAGCCTGCGGGGGCGGCTACGGCGATCACAGCGAGTACAGTCATGGCCAGGATGGCTACACAGGTGCAAGCAGCCGGGGCAGCAACGCAGGTGGAAAGGGTGGGGCGGCTTATGCTGGTTGTGGCGGTGGCTACGGCGATGTGGGCGGCGGCTGTGGCAAAGGCTTGGCGCTCAGCTTGGCAAAGGATTGAACTATCCGCAGGTATTCGGTTTTGCTTACAGACTTCTTGTTTGCTGAGAGTGCAGCTGCAACTCGATGCCAGCTGCGAATCTGTTGCGAAACACTCAGCCTAACTGTCCGTGTAGTCTTGCAGCTCACCTAGCCCATCCGCGCGGAGCAAAGCATTGGACGGATTGTGCCGCAGTCTGCCTCGACCTGTGGCTCTGCAGAAATCGGTGACTTCAGCTGCGATACATGCAGCACCCAAATCCGGCGCAGTCTTGTGGAACGCTGCAGCCTGCCACAAGTATGTATACGAGAAGAGTGGGGAGGCCGCGACGAGAATGGGTCACATTTGTTAGGGACAAAGCATGCCAATTCCGTGAAAGCCACCGTAAAATGGCCAGACTTGTGCAGAATCCTCACGTATGGAATCATGCGGTGTGCCAGTTTACCCGTCTACGCGCCGCCCGGCGTATGACCGACTGACTGACTGAATGTCTGGTGGGCAGCGAGCATTTCTCTGCTTTCAGCCAATGCAACGCAGCGTCTGTCTTTCAGGAACCATGCGTACCTGCATCTTTCCCAGGTCCCCCCGAAGACCGCGCGCCTCCGCCCTGGCGCAGTGCTGCAGCTGCGCGGCCGCCCCCGCCGCCCAGCAGAGGCCTGGAACGCAGGGCATCACAGGCGGCGTAGGGGACATCGGCTGATGAAAACCGCTCTGGAGGCCCTGGAGGCCCGGGAGGCTGTGGCTTCGGCACTGAGACGCACACAAAGGGTGGCCACTTGTTTCCGAATACCGCTGGAACCAAGGGAAGTGGCTTCCTCTTTGGAGGCAAGGGTGCAGGATGTGCAGGCTCAGGCCTCGGCAGCAAAGGTTGGTGATTTCCGCCTGGTTTGAACATATTTGCCATCCCGAGTAGGAGTGGATCCAAAGGCTTGCCCGGACGAAACATAGCTCAAACAAGGCCAAGTCATCACGAGTTGTATAGAAATTATATGAGTATACCCAATCAAGCCTCTGGATGCAAGCAGCAGAAACAAAAACGAACGTATATTCCCTGTGCGCTCATGCAGACAAAGGCCTCAACAGCGTTCAGCAGCATGTCGTGCAGATTCGGTTTAGCATGCACTGTCTTGAGGATGCGTGCTCAGTTGCTCTTCAGCCATGCTTAGAACCGGTGGTGGAGTGGTGCAACAAGGAAACACCAACTTCTTACTCCACAGAACCAGTGGCTGCTTTCGCACAAGGCGGTAGGATTGAATCTCGACGGATCGTCTTCAAAGGAGCTTCACCTTGGACATGCATGGAATGATCCGGGTGCATAGGGTTTACGTATGGGCGATGGCGAGCCCACGCTGCTTTTGCCAGACGAGGCCAGGGGGAACCTACCCTTGACGTCTCAGCTGCCTGGCAGCAGGATTGTCCTGCCACCCAGCTGGATGAGGAGGACGAGACTAATGACGTAGGACAAGGTGGGAATGGTGCTGTCGGCTGTCGCAGATTGCAAGCAAGGTTTGAGAGTGTCTCAGGTGACTATGGCAAGACTGTTGCGAAGGCTACAGATTTTCCTTCACCTCCAGCAACGCCAAAGCCGAGGCCCTGCGTTTCTCGCTTTTCGCCCCCATCCCCACAACGACTGCCACAGCCATATTCAGGAAGCGCAAGGGGCCGCCATCGACAGGCTGAGTTACTGCAGGGATCATTTCGCATTTCAGAATTTCTAGAATGTAATATGTCTCTTGCGCCTCTGTCGTCCGATGTGTTTTTGCAGCATCCAATCCAGGCCTGGCCGATACTCCGGACAAGGCTTGCAGACGATCGCCGAGGTGAGGGAAAAAGAGGCGGACACGGATCCTCGGATTCCTGGGTGCGAGCCACCAAGGCTGCGGGAGCTGCAGGAGCTGCAGGAGCTGCAGGCGCAGCAGGCGCCAGAGCCTGCGCCGGCGCCGCGGAGGCACCAGGTCGGGGCACAGGGCTTCAGGATTGCAGCAATTCGATGTCTGTGGCCAGAAATTGAGACTGCAGAGGCTTCAACGGGCGGCCCGATCGTCGCAGCACCACCCCTGCGGCCGGTGATCGCCCTGAGCGGAGTGGAGATCGAGGCGAGGTGGCTGCCTTTCGCATCATACGCGACGACATCTGGGTCAGGCCAACTTGCTGAATGCGGGCCGCAGACTTGTGGAGTCTCTTGGAGGAGAGATCACGAACACATGGACGATGCAGGCTCGCGATGGAGGAGAGGAAAGGCTTAAGGAGTGACGGAGCTCTGCCTCGTGTGCAGGCCACACATTTGGTGGCCTGCCGCTTGCGACGGACGTTCAAAGTCATGCCACCCGTCCAGGCTAAACGCCCGCCCGAACAAGCGTTACACGGGTTTACTTGCGAGGTGCGCTCTATGTCGCGGTGTGCCGATTGCCACTGCCCTGGTGCTCGTATAATGCTGCTACATCACTTTGGCAGTTCACATAGACCGATAAACCGCAGGTCAGGCCTGCCTTCATCAAGCGCTGTGTGCAAGAAGCACGGGTGCCTGAGGCATCTTGGCAGCCACGAGTTTTTACTCTGCGGGCAGGGGAGGATGCGACATGATATCCGAGGTGAGGAACCAGGACCTCGGCCGAGCAGCATGTGCAGCATACACATGCTGCTGAGGTCATTTTGGCCCATTCACATCAGCAGCATGTCATTCTTCACGTGAGCCTTCGAAGGGTGATGTAGATTTTGGGATCTCTCCTCATGGAGGAGCGATTGCGGCACACTGCACAGGGCTCCGAGCTGGTACTTGAGGGCCCCGACTTGCTTCAGGCTTGGAGGTCACTGCAAACGTCAGGTTTGTACTCCCAAAAATGAATCAGACCCTAACCAAGGGCAAGAGCGCCTCAGCGGTCATAATCATGGATGATGTTGTCCATGATTATGACTGCAGAGGCGCTCTTGCCCTTAGGGTCTGATTCGTGAGTTCGTACGCGAGCACTGTTGTGGTCGGAAGCCCATTCCATGGCGCTGTCGTTTGACAGCAGGAGTGTAAGTGCAGACCGGTACGTGCATGCGAGGGCTTTCTATGACGGAAGAAGATGCAAGAGATGCGAAAGCGCTTCGCCAAGGACAGCGTCGCCTTCTTCCAGACCTACTGGACCGAGCCAGCCCCAGCCCCTCCTGCACAGACTCCTCGGCAAAAGCTCGAGGGCTTCGCCTTCGCCTCCTGTACCAAAGCAGCTTCCTGGAACACAGAGTGGAGTGAAAAATGCCGGAATGCAGGAGGCCGAACCACTAACCCGAGCTTTCTCAAGGTGACAGTGATCCGAGGCCGGGCCACTTGGCCGTGGGGTAGGCACTCCGTGGAGAGGTACGACGAAAAACAACGCTTTTGGTCAATTCATTTTGTGAACTTCGCCGACCTCCCACCAGATGTCCTGGAGTTCGTGCGGGCTCCACTCCCAGAGGACGCATCGACAAAATCGGCCCTGCAGCTGAAAAGGCACGAGAATGCCAAGCAAAAAGCTGCAAACAAGGCCCGGCTGCAGGAGCGGGCCACGTCACCGAAGGTGAAAGTGCGGAGGAGGCATCTGAAGTGCTCTGCCTTGCAGCCTTTTCTTCGGCATTTTGCCGACTGTCAGCTGCCAGTTCCTTCTCCGGCTACCAACTGCGAGTTTGAAAATGCTCCGACATGCTGCCCAGGTCGTTTTGGCCCCCTCCACCTCAGCAGCAAAGCCCTGCAGTCTACATCATGACATCATGTCAGCTTTGCAAAACAAAGCACCAGGACCTACTGCGAGACATCATTGGCCAGCAGATCTTCGCAAAGCGCTTTCTGGGGCGCACCTCGCCTGTGAATCCTCGACTTGGTCTGGTGCACTGGTGCACATGCTTGGGACCGTGGGAAGGCACTTGCTAACAGTTGAATATCAGCAGCCGATGCAAGAGCTGGACTTCAAGGACGTGCCTCCACAGATGCTACCGTAGATGACGCTCTTCATGGCTTTCGATCTACGTAGATGGCAGTCAGGAGTGCTTGTGAAGAAGCGCTGCTCCCCAGCCACGGCCTGCCTCGAAAGCATCTGAGGCTCTCAAAGTTACTCTCTTGGAGACGTACTTCAACGGGCCCAAGACGGGCCTTTGCTGGCAAATTTCTGCGTCTATGTCCTGCCAGAGGCTTGTCGGCTCAGCGCATAAGCGTAGTATAAGCGTTATGATTTTCACAGGTGTCCTCTTGGCATGTAGTGTCCTTTGTCGCACCATTCCGGGCTCAATTGCAGCTTTATCTTCGACTCACCTTGGCTTTGCAGGTCACCGCAATGGAGCGTCCGAAGCTGCGTGCACTCGTGGAAGCCGCCGGTGGCCAGTGGCGGGAGGCTGCCTGCAGACGCGAGCTCGATGGCGTGGTTGGAGTCTAGAGTCCTCATGGGCCGCCGCTCGCGTCGTCTGTGTTGTGCTGGCACACCAGTATACTGCTTTGCTGCCGGCTCAAATTCAGGATGTGTCATAGCCCGCGCTCACACTGAAGGTGGTTGGAGCTGCCCCGCATCGCTGAAGTAGGTCCTGCCTGGCTGCTGTTGCCATGAAGAGTTGGCTATGGCCGTTGGCCCTTTGCTGGAATGTTCGTGGCACGGAGATTCCTCCAGCCAAGATGCTTCAAATGGGCCGCATCATGCAGTGTGTCTTCTGCCAGATTCTCGCGAGCGAGATTGACGTCGGCTACCAAGATGTCGCGGAGTCTGAGGCACGGCGAAAGCTAAAGCAGCACTGCTCTGCCATCGCTCCTCGAGTAGCAGCACTGTCGGGCGCGACGTCTCCGAAGGAATCCGAAGCTCGGCTGCCTAGTAAGCAGGTTGGCAGGCTCTGCTCGTACAAGGCCAGTCCTCAGAAGAATAATACCCGCCACTGGACGCTGCCAAGTCTGTCCCTGTTTTGCACCATGTGCTAAGCATCTTACTTCTCCGACATTGTGGTGTCTGTGCTGTACCTGTGGCAATTTGCACAGGAGGCTTTCTGTGCTCGGATGGTGCGTGAGCATGGAGGAGACATGCTGGATGCGAAGTCGATGGGTGAGGACTTGAAGAGTTTCTGCGAGCAGGATGATTTTTGCAGGCCTGGCAGGGCGGCTGTGCAAGAAATTCAGTCACTGCTTTCTTCGATTGCCTCGGCCACTCGCCCTCCGCAATCTGCAACCCGAACCCACCGGTTAGTTCCCACAGATGTGGTGTCCATGTAAGGACGCTCAGGCAGATGGTCTGGTGGAAGGCCAGGATTTGGAATGAGATGTCTTGATTTTCACACTTGGCGACATGTGGGTGGATGTTGAATCCCAAATCTCCCAAGTCCAGGAATCTTGACGAACTTCCAACGCGAGGAGAATTGATCAGCAAATGCCGATGTGGAACATCGTGAGCCTGCGTTCCATTGCAAAGAGCAAAGAATGTGGTGTGGCAGACTATTGTGGCTTCCCGTGGACAGCAATGTCTTGCAACTCAAGAGTTGAACAGCGCGTGGGGAGGCCAAGATGCAGAGCTCCCGTTCTTTTGGACATCTACACCAAGCCAAGACGTGCCATGCACCAGAATGGATTGCAGTCTAGGAGGATGCACCCGGAGAGCGAGCTGCACCCTCCCTGGAGTCGCTGGAAAAGCAGGTGACGGCGTCGAGGACGAAGCCACCTCACGAGCATCCACAACGCCAGGGCTGACTGGAAACGCTGAAGCCTTGACTGACAAAACTGTGTTGGTTTCACTCTGCAGCAAAGCGCGTGGCAGAGTCGACTCTTTTTCATTTGGAAGAAGGCGTGCAGGATAATTCACAGCTTGTATCTACTGTATGATGAGAGTGATGACTGTCACTTTAGTTACTTTAGTTGCTTACATGCCAGAGTTCAGTGTTACGTCACTCCAAGCAGATCGTACATACTGGCTAGGCGGCTAGACGGGATTGGCTGCCATCGAAAGCAGCATTCAGCTTATCACCCTTGAATGTGCATATTGGGCCCGGCTTGATCCATGCATCTCCGAGCGCACACACACACACACACACACACGCAGCGCGCAGCGCGCAGCGGGGGAAGTGCTTTTTTATAGAGAAGACTGGACATGGCCGGTTTCTCTGGAGTTTGCGAGGGGAGTTTGGAGTTTCGAGCAGGAGCTGCCAACGGCGGGCTCCACTGGCTCCTTGCTGGTTTTTGCTGAAGCTTCGTCGCCCGCGGCCTCTGTGGCCCAGGTCGGGACCGCCAGGGAGTCACAGCTGTCACAACATGATCCGACTTGACGGATCAAGGCCGCTTCCAAAGCGGCTGGCGTCTACCAGTTGGAGGCACTGCTTTCGGCTGCTTGCACCCAGGACCTACGCTTGCAGGCCGGGGGTGTGTTTTTTCCCGGACCGGCGTTTTCAAGCTTGCCGGGGCGGATTCCCTTGTCCTAAACGGCAGGCGTTCCAGATGCCCGTGCGCCGACCATCTCGTGCAGCAGAAAAAGTGTATGTGGTGGGCTGGAGACGTACCTCCGAGGAGCTGAGCTTAGGCTCTTAAAAGGGATGCATTCGCCGCCCGACCTGCCGAGCAAGTTCTGCAAGTGGTGACGCTATGAACCCCACTCTCTGGCAGCAAAAGCAATCAACACGGAGCATTCCGCACAGCTTTGAACGTGTTTGGTGCAACCCAGAGGAGAGCATGTGTCAAAAAAACGGGGCTTCCTGTGATGCTCATGGCAAGCCCGGGCGGCCGGACGCGCTCCCGATCGTGGCTGCTGGCCTGTGGCCTGGGTGGCAGGTCGGCTTCAGCCCTCTACTGTAGACTCTAGACTCTACTGTAGATGGTCGAGAGAGCTTCTGATCCCTTGCGTTGGCAATGCTGTGCATCCCGTCAGTCTGGCGTTTCTGCGTGGGCCGAGAGGAGTCGCCCTTCGAGAAGCTTGGACCTTGATCCCAGCAGTCCCTGTTCTTCATGTGTGGTCTTGGGACCTCGGAGTCTTCGGGGTTTTAAAGGCTTCTTGCGATATGGGGCTCAGCAGCAAAAAACGATCGGATTTCGAGGCAAGAGCACGCCAAGATGAAGCCCCTGTTCTTCAGCATTTTATCGCGGACTCTCCGCTCTTGCGAGGAACCAAAGTTGGGGGAGACGATGCGCCAACTGTCTTTCTGGTGGCCCCGCCATCAGAGCAGCTGACGAAATACGTGCTTGAAGATCCTGCAGGTCCTTTCAAAGGGACACTCGAGTGGCCAGAGAGGCTCTTCGATGACGTGGATGGCAAGAACGAGCCTGATGTAGCAGATCATGCTCCAGGTTCGTGGAAGAAGTGGAGCTTTCAATTTTCGAAGCGGGAGCCATTTATGCTCAAGGCAGATTGGCACAGTGTGCACGGCTGGGGTCAGGAGTTCGACATCTTCGTCCCGCGCAAGAATGCTGTTGTGCCAGTGCCACAAGCCCCTCCCCGTGTGCTGGCACTGATTGAGGCTTTCCGCAAAGTGAACAGTGTCTGCTGGCAGCAGATCACTTCTGGTTTACAGGAGCTACAGGAGCAGAAGCCTGATGATATTCTCAGGCAGGACTTGTTCCTGGCATGTTGGGCTCATCTAGTGCAATTACAGTGGGTCGGCACAGCACAGGGTTTGACACGTCTGGTGTACACTGGCTGTTGCAAGTCTTCCATCCACTCAAAATCCAACAGGTGTCGCCTGCTCAAGATGCTGATAGAGGAGTTCCAGGAACGTGGCTTCTTTGGAGCAATTGAAGCGCAGGCTACTGCATGTTGACAGTTGCCCAGTTTGATAACGCACAGTGAGAGATGATGCAGAACTGTGCATTTTACCATATGGATTTTGTGTGACGAACACCCATACTTGTAGCGACAGCCGTGCTTTTGGAGGAAAAATGCTTGGCATCGAGATGCGACAACCGGTAGTCGGGACACAAGCTCGGGACCCCAAAGCGCGACAGGCTCGGGACATCGAGATACCTTCATGCTGGATCGCCAGGACCAAAACACCAGAGGACTCCGGAACTGCAGGACACAGTCACTCCAAAACACCGTGAGAAAGGATAACAGGAACACAGAGACCTGCGCGCGGTCATACGGGGACGCAGGCCGGTGGGTACACAGGAAAACACCGAAGCACAGGAATCAGGAACCTGCTTCAGTACTTGAGACAATCGGCGAGATGTCGACCAGCAAACTCCGGTACGCTCGCAGAGCTTTCTGCGGAAAGCATAAACGAAGAATACATGTATAGATGGATAGCTTTCTTGGTCGACAGATGGGTAAATCTTTTTCGGTGAAACATAGCCACCCACCCTCACCCTACGGCCATCGAACACAACAGCTGCAGGCAGGCCCAGCCCGGCGGAAGGAGATGCACTGGCATCGCGATGGTGCTACGGGGCTCCTTCATCTGGGGTGACTGGGCTGTCACTTGCCGGTTGACGGTTTCGGAAGTGAACGAGCTTCTTTCCGTTAGGAGCTCTTTAGCACAGAGGGTGAGGTGCGCTTTTCATGGCCTCGAGAGCACCTCGGGAACTCCTCGGCCATACTCAGGATTACTTTGAGTGGGCGCCGCCGACTCCAACTCAGAGCTCGGCGCGGGGGTGGAGAAATTCAGGGTTTAGGGCTTCAATTTGCTGCGTGGTGGGGGCCGTGGGCTATAAAGGGGGTACTAGGTGTAGAGCTGGACAGAGTTGCACCTTTCCAGGAGCGAAGATGATTCCTGGACACAAGAGTTGTGGATGGACGCAGGCAGCTCGCACTGGAGATTCACCGCCATTCCCTTCAAGGGTGGAGCACATCTGACGTTCATTCCGATATGCAGTTTATAGAGTCGACCCACGGGGTTATGTACGCACCCTTCGTAGTGAAGCGGAAGTTTCCAGTTCCCCCACTGGCCAAAATCGGGGCGACCGAAAGCTCCAGTCCCTTTTGGCATACTGCTAGGTTTTCGCTCTTATTGGAAATCAATGCTAGGGCGAGAGCTTTGACGGCTCCACTTGCAGCATGCGCTCGTTCAACAGCTACTGGTAGCCGTGTCTTCGTTGTGTCAAGGTCATGTCTATCTTTCCTCGCCGTTCCTCTTTGATCACAGCATCACTTATGCCGCGGAAAGCAGCGACAGTGGTCCCACGCTGGCACTGATGTGTCGCTTCGGCTTTCTGGATGAGGAGGATGCGCTGTGGGTGAACCACTTCCGTGGCCGGGACATGCTTGAAGTCGTTGAGCTCATCAGCGGCTGCCTGCGAAATGCCACCGACGCCGAAGAACTCCGAATGCCAACCCTATCGGAGGTGAGCGCCATGGAGAAACAGCTCGCCACATGACGGGACTGGTAGGCAAGCAGGTGGCTCGTCGCAAAACGGTGGCACGTGCCGTTGTCGTGGCATTCTTCTGTTGACAGCTAGACGCAGCTAGACATGAAGCAGTGCCTTCCGGTACCTCTGCGTCCATGCTGCTTTCTGCAACATCGACCTGGTCAGTCACGAAGCCCGACATCATGGCAATCTGCGCCCCTTGGAGCCACATCCACAGCCGGTGTAATCTGAGTAATCTTCGGCTCTGCATTTTACATCCCTCAACTCAGAGATAGATTGTGCATCAGACTGCTTTCCTGCCTTTGGTCCTTGGCCCTATGTCAGCCATGGCGGACATGGTGGACATGGCCGAGCTGAAGAAGCTCGTGATCATGGGGCTGAACTGTGCCATGCTGGCAGGGACCGGCTTAAGGGAGTTTTCGATGGCTTCGTATTGTTAACTTGCCCTCCTTCCACGGATGACCAGAGGAGCTGTCTCATGAAGCTTCCACAGATCAACAACATCTTGAAGGTGAGGAGTTGCACGCAGTGACAGTGATGCAGGGAAATGAGACCATGGTACCCTGACAGGCAGGCAGCGTGGTGGGTCTGTCAGAGGCCTTTGTCATAAACGACTGCATCGCTGGCTTGCTGTTTGTTGCTTGTTTGCAGATGACATGGAGACGGGTTGTCGGTGCCAGCACTGGCCGATCTTAAGGTGTACTACAATGTGCTGTCTGGCCACCCCTTCATGAGTTGGGGGGAGAACGTGATAGTTGGCATCCAAAATGCCATTGCCAGGGCCTTGCACCCCCTCGGCTCACCATTCATGTTCCGACGCAGCAAATGCCGAGATCATCTTTATGTACTGGCACTACTCGCCGGAACTGCCCAAAGCGCCGGTGGCTCTGATGTTGGCTAGCCAACATGGAAAGCTTCTACAGGACACAACTGTGAAACTGCTCAGCAGCAAAGCTAGCAAAAGCTACCCCTTCCTCTGCTGTTGGTGCTTTTGCCAAGGCCACGATTCCTTGGTGCAGCGACCTTCGTGGCCTGCAGTGCTGTTGTGCTTCTGTTTGGTGCTGCGCTTGGAGAGTCGACAGGGAGTCGGGTTGCCGAGTCGGGACGTCGAGGCGTCGAGGCGTGGCTGAAGGAATTCCACCCCCGAGGCCTGCCCGAGACAGCAGTTTCAGCGCTTGGCATGGCACCGATCATCCTTGGCCGGTTGCTGAGTTCGAGGTTGTTTCAGTGACAGGCGGAAAAAAGTCCCTGGGTGCTGAGCCTCTTGGCACGAAGGCAATGGCTCCAAAGTGCCACAAATCTGGAAGAACATGGTCCAGAAGCACACTGGAACCATGGCTGTGGTGCTTTGTCCTCGGAGGCTTCTTCACAGCCTTCGCGCCGTGCCGCGATGTGCCAAGGCCTGCGCTTATGGGGCTGGCGGGGTGCTCCGTCCGGGACCGCAGCTCAGCTTGCCAACTGCAGGCACCACAAAGCTGTACTGTTTTAAGCGGAGGTCCTGACATATGCGCTGCAGACGAAGGCAAGTCGTCACCTGGCTTTATGCTAGAAAAAAGTCTTGATTTAGCATTCTGCCTGGCAGGACGTGGTAGCAATCCTGAACCCCTTGGCGGCGGCTACGCTGTGGTTCGTCCTCCTGCTGCAGCGGATGCCTCAGGCATGGATGTGCCTCTTCCTGGAGGACTCCGGTCTTTTGCCACGACAGGCAAAGGATAGATATTTTATGAGCTCCGTAACAGCCGGTCTGCCAATGAGTATATCCATGTGAAGGTTTGCTCTCTACTGGAAGACAACAAAACAGGTGCAGAAAGAGGTCGGTCGTTTGCAGTGTCCAATAAGTTTCTTGTTACCGGATTCGCTGGTGTGGTAGCAGGCACAAGCGAAGCACAAAGAGGCAGGACAGAAGAAAACTTCGCCGGGCAGCCCAGCATACCCTGTTCTCCAAAAAAGCATATCTATATACATACATACATATATATATATATTTATGTATATGTGTATATGTATATGTATATGCATATGCATATGCATACGCATATGTATATGTATATGTATATGATTGTATATGT